CCCCCCCCCCTCCTCCTCGCCGAATACCGTGAGAGTTGGAGAGATGGCACCGGGTGCCATCGCCGGCGCAAACGGTATCAGTCAGTATATTGTCTCCCGCTTCGTTTCTGTCTCCCTCTCGACGAATAACAGTCCGCAAGCAGCAGCACATTAGATTTGCTTTTGCCTACGAGGTGGGGGAAGGTTACGGCTTGTATTTTACGTACTTGGGTAGCGTACGGTTTGCAACTTCCATTCCGACAAAACTAAAACAAAAGACAATCCGCCATGAGTCGCGCCGGCCGTACGTACGTACATGAAGGAGTGGCGCTCCGCTGACACCGTCACTACGTGTGTAAGGGCCCCACATGTACCTCTTTACGGCAGCTCAAAAAGAGCTCAATCTTGGATCTGAGTGTCCGTGAGATCCTGAGATCGCACCCGGTGCGATCTCACCGACCCCAGCGCGGAAAAACAATTAAGATTACGCCGTTCTTGTTTGTTTTTCGTACCCGTGTGCCATCTCTCCGACTCTTACGGTACCTCACGGCGCTTCGCTCTTGGTAATACGAAAGCCTGGTGCGGTGAGAACCCGGCATGCTCCGGCCCGGCGTATAGGGATGCAAGGTCAATGATCCAACGACTACGGCATGCCCGGCGACGAGTACACCCTCGCTCCCCGCCCCCCGTTCGGCTGCCATAGTAAAGGGTACCCTCTGCGTGCGAATATGGAAACTCATGCAAGACTGGCGCCCCTTTGGTTGTTCACCACCGGCTAGGTCGATCGATGCCAATACCACCAAAAATAGCTGTGGACACGCACAATTTCTTCTTTGCCGACTTCTGCCGGCTGTCGGCGAGTCCACCGTTAGGAGGGGAGCCCTTGAACTAAGACGCGTTCTACCGCTTTGTTGGCCTCGATTAGGTAGACGTCTTTCGATCAACCAGCTGGTTGGTTGGCGCTGTCCAAGCTAACCAGAGAGAGACCAACACATCAAACACCCGTGGTGTGTTCGGCCGTTTTCGTCAAGATCTCATGAGTTCCCGAGGCTGGATCGTTCGTTCGGCGTGTCCGGCGAGTTCTTCCTCATCCAGTTTGCGGCGGTGCTATCGATATCTCTTTTCCCCAACAGCAGCAAAACCAACCGGATATTTCCTCACCGACACAAAAAAACCAACCTGATTTCCTCCCAACATACAAAAAAAAAAAAAACTCATATTTTCCCAACAGACACAAAACTAACCCTCATCCTTTCCAAACAGACGTTGAAGCCAACCTCATCTTTTCCCAACAGACACAATAGCCAGCCTGATCTTTTCCCAACAAACACCAACCTGAAATCTGTAGAAGTCCGAGAGTTCACCGGCCCCCTTGCGCTTCTTCTTGGCCCCTCCGGCGACAACGCCATCCGGAGGGTTTCCGCTGCCGCCGCCGCCGCTATTTCTGCCTCTCTTTCTCTTGTACGTAACCGTCACGAAACCGTCGTCGTCTACCGGGTTCTCAAGCATAGCTTTCCGCTGCGCGATCTCCGCCGACTCTTCCTCCTCGAACCGGAGCATGGTAGCGTCTACCTCTTCCTGTGATACCGCCCCCCCCCCAAATAGGATATATAGGACAGGGAAAACGCTATTGAGCGACCTTTGGCAAGGTAGGAGGGAACGATTGGCCATCAGTGATTGGTCCTGTGGGAACAATCCTCCATCCTCTCGAGGACGCATGGTCAATGGTCTAACTGCTAAGGCATGCAAATCATGAGTACCCCCCCGCCAGGTCCCGTGGGCCAAGGGTTGTAGACGTATGGAAGGACTTCGAGATCGACGAAGTTGAAAACGATAGGCCGAGAGGGGTTCGAGAAAAAGATACCTTTATTGCTATTGTAGAAAGAGAAGAACAGACTCTCAAACCAAGGACAAAATTGGATCAACACATGTACGGAATATTGAAGGAAGAAATATGGTTCAAAAAGCACATACATGGACCAATGGACTGGGGACAAAGCTGAAGGCCAGTTTAGGACTGGGGACATTTAGTTTTCGAGAACTTAGACGAAGATTCAGGAAGGTGAACGATGACGTCGACAGATCAAATGTGCATGCAACTCCGAGTGCGAAGACCGACTTCGTGTAGTTGCAGAATGTCCGTTTCACGAAAAAAGAGAGAACGCGCATGACTGAGCCGGAAAAAGCAGAAGGAAGGTACAGAGAGATGTTTGAGGTATGACATAGCCAGGAGAGGGCGTACCTACACTGGGGCATAGGAAGTAAGCTGAATAGGCGGGAAGTGATATCGATAGGATGGATAGGATACAGATAATAAAACATTATTGACCCACCTTTGGCAACGTAGGAAGGAACGATGGGTCATCGGTGATCGATCCTGTGGGAACAATGCTCCATCCTCTTGAGGACGCGTGGTCAATGGTCTAACCGCTACAGAATGCAAAACATAAGAGTACGCCCCCCCACCCACCCCCCCGGTTCCGTCCCATCAACACAGCAGCAATTGAAAAGGTAGCAGCTTTGAGTCAACGACTACTCTGTTTCTTTTGGCATGGCGGTTGTGGGAGAGTAGCAGGGGCTCTTCTTTCAGGCAAGCCGACTCACAATCTTCTTGCTCGCCTCCTTGTTGTTCGCGACTGTACACAAGTAGCCGGCACCACAACTTGGAGGCATGTAGGCAATAGCGAACAAACATGACACCAGAGCATTCTACAAACCTGCAGCGGAGGGTGAGGAAATCACACACGTTGGTAAACTTGCCCCGTGCACCTCACGCTCCACACAGGAACACGAACCAGCTTTGGGCGCGCAGCGCACCAAGATGAAAAGACGGCTTCTCGCACGACAATCACGACACCGACAGTTTACAAGAAACAAAACAAGATGGAAATACTCATAGACTCCAACGAAAATACCAGGAAAAAAAAACATTTTCCGAGTCAGCAGCACCTAACGACGATGGAGACACATAGATTCCAAGGGATCGACTACAAAAAAAACATGCATATATACTCCAAGTCAGCGGTACCTGCAGCGCTTGTCGCGGTGGAAACTTCCGGCGATGCCGCTGGATTAGCGCCGCGTAGCCGCACGTTTGGTCACCATTCTCATCTCTGTGTTTCAGACGCAAAACGGAAAAAAGGGGTCCACGGGCGGGTGTGTGTGCGTGTGTGTGCTCATGGAAATACATGCCGTAGTCGTTCGAATGCCAGGACGGAGGGATATGCCGGTTTTTTTCCCTGACCAGAGGGGGGGAGGTGGAAAGTTTACCACGGCACGGCCAACACAAGCACTAACGGAAATGACAAAGGATGGAGTGTGCGAGTAGTTGAGACTTTCCTGATCGTTGCCGAAGCTACACAGAACACAAATCGGTCCCTCCAACTTCTACTGCTGTAACAACTCCCCACCGAGAGAGCGGGTTAGCCACCAAGCGAGACGATCACCACATCCGACAAGGATAAATGTTTCGCCGAAAGATCCATCCCTACGAAGGGTGTCGATGACACTCGAAATAACAAAAAAATATCGCCAAACACATCCATCCCTGTTAAGGGCGTCGATGGAACTCGACAAAAGTAACCGAACACATCCATCTAACCTTAGGGGTGGTGACGACACCCGAAACAAAACACTACACATCCATCGCTACGCATACGAAGTGCGGGTGACGACACCCTAGAGAAAAAAGCAATCACTGAAAAAAAAAATCGGAACACATCCATCCCTACGAAGGGTGTCGATGTCGGGAGTTCCACCAACCGGCGGCGTTCTCACCGTAGCTCTTCCTCGGGGTCCTCTTCCTCGTCATCTCTCGATGAAGCTTTGGTGTCAGCCCCCTCTTCACCACCGCTTGCAGCAGACGCAGACGACGCGCCCGAGGGCAGTTGGTCGAGAGCGAGGGCTCGCTGGACCCCCTTCGTCGAGGAGAAGCTGAGAAAAAACAACACGGAGAGAGGGCGATCGAGCGCGCGTACGGGATTATAGATGAGCTGCTCGATCCGCCGCAACAATTGATTGGCCCTGCCAGTCAGGAAATTGTCTACATACACGAGAGAGAACAAAAAATTCGGGCTGCATCAGCTAGTTGGTCGGAAACATGGTGTACGAAAGTCAAGCACAGGAGCCCCCACCGAAACATGGTGCACGAAGGAGAGTTTCTTGGAGTCACGGAGCCCCCACGGCAGCATGGGGTACGAAGATATTTTCTTGGAGTCACGGAGCCCCCCATCGAAACATGGTACACGAAAGAGAGTTTCTTCGAGCGAGGGAGCCCCACGAAGAGCCAACAAAACCAACATGTACCTGCAATTAGGGGTGTCAAAGCAGCAAATTTCCTATAGGAAAAAAATGGAAAAAGTGACCTCGGACCTTCCTGATGGAAAATCGACTTACCAATAAAATTGCACGGAACGTTCCGAAAGCTCCCTAAAAACACCTGACGCGCACGCGCGAGGGCGCCGCTCGTGTGCGTGCTCTGATGTGCCCTGCTGTGGGACACAACACAACACCTTTGCGCGGTCCCACTCTAGAACACATGCCTCATGACACACCCGAGCAGCAGCCGGGCGGTGAAGCCACGCAGACACCTGCCGCCGCCGCTGCTGCTGCTGCTGAAAAAAACAGCAGCAGCAGCGGCGGCGGCGGCGGCGGCGGCAGCGAGGTTGAGCCGCCGATCATCCACAATTTTCTTACTTTTGACCAACTCCTCCTTCGTTTCCTCCAGCGTTCTCTCTACGACGGCGAGGCTGCCGCGTTCGATAGCGCGCCGCGTGTTATCTTCTGCTGACACGGCAACCATACACTGCCCCGTCCTCTCTTCAAACTTGGTTTTGTTTTGATTCAGCTTTCGCGCAGCGCGCCTCCTGCTGCCGAACGGCGCGGACTTCTATTTTTTTTTTTTTGAGGGTCTGCTGGTGTGGGCGCTGCAGCCCGACTGGAGGGGCCGTTTTCAGACATGTAGATCTCGTGGTTGGCTGATGCGATTCGGATGCGGTTTGTTGTGTGGTAATAGGCTGTAAGCTCGCTGTTTCGAGAGTAGCAAAGGTCGCCTTGGGCGTGGAACAAAGAGCTCAAAAACATGTTTTTTGGTGTTGTTCGTCCGCCCTTTAACTTTAAGAGACAACCGAGCTTACAGTCGCCTCTTTTGGACTTGTGTACAGGTGTGTGTAACGTATGAAGAGCCACGCTGCTGCCTGGGCGCAGAACTACCTGCACAAACAACCTGGGTGATGTAGTGTTTAATCAGTATGATAGGCGGGCACCCTCAAGAGCCGAAAAAGAACCCGATCCGTGTGCCCCCCCCGAAAATCGCTGAATAAACCCGTCACATTTTTGGCTCCAAAATCTGCCCGATTGACACCCCTAACAGGGGATTCAGATCACGATGCTCAGAAGCGCGTCGATTTGTTTCACATCTTGAACCTGAGAGTGCGTGGCACATGTGACCGACATGATTTTGTATAGCACACAGGGCCTACGTGTCCACACATGCAGTGGATTTAACTGGCATGTGCCCAGCGTGGCTGGAAGCAGTAGCCTCTTCTGTAGATAGTTCTTCACCCTTACCTCAACCTTTCTCTCCCATGGGACTGACGACGTCTTTCCATTGGTGAGCTCCTTAACCAGTCGATGCTACTTAAAGAAACCTACACATACTCATCCCCCGTGACGCCCCCTCACGGGGTCCCGGATCACGGCCTTTTCTGTTTTCAACCACACCGAGACTGGCGTATTTTCATTGGTCAGCCGGTCAGCGCGGTAGACGTTACGACTTGAGCCGGAAACATGTGGGAGGCCAACATCGGCTACATATTGAAGTTTAGCCAGCTTGATGTTCAGCACCCAAAGGTGCACTGAAATGAACACACGCACTCACCACACGTGGGCGAATCTCGCAGCACCGTTGGTTTTCCTTCCCGTTACCTTTGCTCCCCTCGCGTCACCGACCCCGCCGTCCGTGGCCGCCGACGCCGCTGACACTTGCACGTGAAGGATCTTTCCGCAAGAGAAGAGGGCTCGTCGCAACCTTGCCTCGATCGTCTTGCGGCAGAGACGTCCCCCTGATACGTCCGTTACGGGCCCGCAAGCAATTACGTACCATCTTGTTTTAGGGGAAACACAAGGCTCACGTTGTCACACGCAAAATGATAAAATCAGTCACAACCTCACGATCGGTTGGCAAAAAACCCTTACAGCTCGACGGGGTGGAACCTGCGCGGAATAGAGTCGACAAAACAACCTGTGCTCGACGGCGGCGGTGGCGGAGAGACAAGAAATTGAGCCTCCATCCGATATCGGTATGTACTAGCTGCGGCCCCCCGAAGGTGCTATCTTCACGTACGGCACAAGGTGCCATGAGAGTACAACCACGAACAAGCTGCGAAGTATTGCGAGCGAGAAGGAGGATCGAGTCGCCGGGAGGGTCTACATGTGGGAGGCGGCAATGGGGGGAGGGAAAGAGGTCGTCATCATGACCACAGCGGCCGGCCCAGCAGCACCGAGCGAGTGGGGGTTTCAAGTCGTCGTGTATCGGTATCGGTCAATGCTATTCAATCGACTGTAGATCTTTTCAGGATGGAGTGCAGACCGCACGCGGTCTCAAGAGCGACGAGAGGCAGACGGCGGAGTGGCAGCAGCAGCAAGGCTGAGGAATTAATGGTTTGGTTTTGATCGCGTTGTTCTCAAGGTTTGCCTGCGTTCAGCAACCACGATTCGAGGCTCCAAGGCCTGCGGCATACCAAGCTGCGCTATTCAGCAGGTACCAGCGATACCACTCGCAGCTGCGCCAACGAACAACCTTCCTGTGCCGTGGGTTGGCACGGCGAAGGCAGGTGACGCCCACGGGCGCTAACGAACGACGGAAAGATGTTCAACCTGTTGCTGTCTGGTCAACTCATCACACAGCATCCTGCCCGTTTTACATCCCTCAGAAAGGCAGTTAATGGACAAATTTTATAGCCAGGAGTATGGGCAGGAAGTACCAGAATTACAGCAGTACTGGTGGTAGTACAGCGACCATGCTTCTACGAGCGGATATCAAAACAGAGAAGGCTCTTCGGCTGACATGCACCCGCCCCCGCCTCGTCAAGCCGACGGTGTGATTAGGTGGCAGGCGTTCAACGGCCAATAAACATTCAAGCATCGTGACAAAGCATGAGTCAGCTCACATATGCCGTACTGATCACCATGGAACAAACATACCCCGATCACCGATGTCCTTCAGGTCACCATGATGGAGCAAGAATACTTCGGATAGAATACCTGTGAATATACCCTTCCAACGACGAAAGAGCTAGGTATAGCTATAGCTCGACGTAGGGATCACACATTTGCGAAGCTAAAAAGAACTGCTGCCGCTCGCTATACGCACGCGGAGGGGGTTCGTACTGAGCGATTGCTACGCAATCGGCTAGGTATTCGCGGTTGTTGTTATAAGAACAACCACAGCCGTATAGACTAATGCTACATATGCATACATGCAGCCAACAAACACAGCGCCACCCAACAGATGCAACGAAGGCAGAGTTCGTGCCAGTCCGCACCTTGGTCGTCGACGTTCCCCACGAATAGAGTTGTCCCCCTGGCGAAGGCAGCAGTGGTCTCTCGGCCACCCTCCCCGCCTGCTGCAGACACGGCCGCCTTGAAGAGCCCCTTGTGCTCCTTGAGGTGCAAGTGCCTGAAGCCACGGCTGGCCCCGGCCCCTGCACCCGCCAGGGCCTGTGGGACCACTCGGTAGCCCTTCGCCACGAGAGCCATATGGTTTCAATCTTTTCGTGTGAATGAGGTCCTTGCCGCTTGGCTCCGAAGAAGACAAGTCAACACACAGCCGGATGTGCTCGCGGGACCGGGTGGGTGTGCCCTGAGAAAGGAGGAGGCGGGCTTGGAGAGGAAGCAACGCAAGATAGACAGCAGTAGGCAGCGTTCATTATTATCTGATAATTTGAGAAGGCAATGAAATCTCAAGTGAGACTCGAGCCCCTTAACTGTCGAAGGTGGGTATGGGGTATGATCCACGGTGCCCCCTTGCCTCGAGCTTCACATCACGCTGGAAGGGAGAGCAACGAGGGGTGTTTCATAACCATCGAGCACGGGATTGGCCCTAGAACAGCAGGTGGGGAAGAGACGAGTACAAATCGTGCTGACCCCTGAGTTGAAAAGGCGTGACACATTTCAGCCTCCCGTCGGCCTGTGGATCCTCATCTCTTTCCCACTTTCCCGCCCACCCCTACCCACACACGGCTGTTGTTTCGCGACAAAAAGGCGGAGAGTAGGGCTGCAACAGGTTTGCCCCACGGTTCGCTACGATGCAAGCAACGACCCGAGCGTGCGTAGGGCGAGCTTTGTGCGTTTGCCGTTGCAATGTTGTTTGTTGGCTTGGATGGTGTGTGCCCCTCCCTTTTTTTTTTTTTTTCAATCCTCCGGCCGTAGCTTGTTTCTGGTGACTGGTGTCCGAAACCCAGAGATGAGGGAGCAATCCCACACGGCAAGTGCGCTTGTGTTTTTCTCGATTTGTAGCTAAGCAGTGGTGTGCGCCTTGTTTTGTATTCGTTATGTCAGACGTTCATGCATGCGGTTGTATACACGAACCTCCCCCCCAAGGGGGGTGTGAGGTTGCCACAGCAGTCGCCTGTAAGCCGCAAGAGTATCTTCGAGAACAACGCAATCCTTTGTGTATTTTGTACGTATGCACCGGGATGTACCCAGACTGGCACCAGAACAGACAGGACCAAGACACAATATGCCGCCGGGACAGCATGAGCGGTTTTGGATTTAATTACGCGCGGCGGGGCCTGTTGAAACTTGTTCATCTGTGTATCGGCAGCAGAGGAGGACTGCACGCCTTTTTCCTTAGATTGCCAACGTTTGATCCCTTTGATGTTTCTCAGTGAATTTTACGTACGTGAGACAATCGTGTTACAGTGGTGGTAGTGGCTCCGATATAGAAGCCCTACCAATTTGTAAAGCTCGAATAGTCCACGACGAAGAGGGTGCATGACCAAGCGAGATGTTGTCGGAAAGCCCTCGACGAGACGGTTCCCGCATCACCATCATCGGCACCGCCACTCTCTGTAGTGTGGAGCAACCGAGCCTTGACATTGCTCCAGTGGGTGTGATATCTTGTGTCATGTCACCTACGGTGCTGCTGTATGCACACTCCAACGGCGGTTCGTTCCATGGGCCTTTCTTATTTTTGTTAAATGACTCCGATTCAAAATTAAAACGATCGATTGTGTGTGTGTGCGTGATTTCGTCGTACAATTTATGATGGCGACAGGAGTCCCCCCATTTGTCGTCGTGAGACGCAATATATATCAAGTGTATGTAGAGTACTACGCACACACTTTCCTGTGTAATTTTTTCGTACAACTACAACCATCCAGGGTCGCACAGGAGGGGGGTAAACTGCACCGCACAAAATCATCGCAAATACAGAAGTACATGACTATTTACTGCAAGGTATTGAGTCGGCTACCCCGCGGCTCAATACCCCCGCCCTATCTATCTAGTATCGGGGCCCCTCTTGTAAGGTACCCTTTTATTTCGGAACCACATCTGCCGGATAGCGCTTGGTACTGTGTCATTTTCCCTCCCTAGAGTGGAGATGTTTGGGCTGATGTGTGCCGAGCGCCGTCGGATAAGCACCGAATACGTTCGTGACCCTCGCTCACGGTCAAAGCACGGCCTACCTATGTGGCGGCCGCGGAGTTGGCGGTCGGAATGCGGAACAGAGAGAGGGGGCGCTGGAGAAGAATCGACCGAACGCTCGGCCAATCAGAGGGAAGAGTCACCAGCAGACCGTTAAAAACATACGGACAGAAAAAGTACCCCGCCAGTCTCCGTCGAAAAATGTGCCGCCAAACTGTCTCGCTGAGCCTGTTACCCACTGGGGATATATCCCTGTATGTAGATGGATTTCGTTGTGTCATATGAAGACTGGTAAAATGGTATGCGTAAGAACGAGGACATTGTCAAGGGCTTACGTATCGTGCGGGCGACGTCTCGTTACATGATGAACGATGCTGCGCCGTTCGCCAATCTAGACTGCAAGACTAGCCAATAAAATGACTTCAAATGTAACCCTTCGAAGGACAGGTTGCGAGTGCAGTGAGGGCACCATCACGCCTTTTGGAGCGGCCGGGCTCGTGTAGAACAAAAAAAGGCATTTTACATACACTCGGGTCGCTGGGCAGGCTCCTCTCGATGTCTACATCGGCGTTTGCATATGATTCACTCCTCAATTCCTCGCTCAATTTCTTTTTTGGTACAACCTCGCACCGAACTTCGTAGGGAAGAAGCCTATCCATGTCGTACTACGGGAG